TTAGTAAACTATCAGTATACCTATAAGTTCACTTTTAGTATAGTGGCAGTACAAACTAAACATTTTGATGTAAACTAGTTGTGTACTCAAAGTTTACTACTGTTATACTTAAAGTATACTTAAAAGTATACTTTTATATACTAGAAAGTGGGCCAATTTAGTCCCAAGGAGTATTGAAATAGTACACTTACAAGTATACTACTAGTACACTGATATTTGTATACTTACTACATAAAGTATACTTAAAAATATACTTGAACTTTACTTAAGTATACATACTAAAATAAACTTGAAGTATACTACTTTTTGGTAAGGGCTTTTTCTGCTTGAGATGCTGAAGTGATACTTCATTCCTTGCCAAATTGGGTTCTGTGGATTTTATCCTGTCAAAGGGAAAGTGTTTATATTCAGCCGCCTTGAGTTGGATGTTCTTGAGTTGGAGTGGCACAGGCTTGACACTTGCATCTAGTCTTCTTGTTTATATGACTAAGCAGTGAATTTTATTCTTGTATAAAATGAAATGCTGACAGTTGCAGTGGGTGCTGTAAAAAATAATTAGATGACTGGAAGTGTTTATAGAAAGAGTTAAAAAAAATACTGAATCAATCCTGAAAAACTTTGTGTGGTAATTAAACAGAGAGCAAAAATACATGGTACAAGATTGCTGGACATTGGAACCCATTCTTAAGAGTGATCTTGTACAAAATCAAAATGGATTTGTGTACATATGAGACAAAGATGCCATTGTGACTCCAAAGTTTTTGTTTACTTTTCCTCTCTCAAATTTGATAAAGCCGAGAACCACTGTTTCCTTTTTTCCCATTGGTATACATGGACCCAGGCCTTTGTCCTTAGTTTTTTACCTCCCCCACAGAATAAAGCTGAAACAATGGCTCAGTGTTCTATTCACCATCACACTTTTAGTTGTATACTCCAAACCACAATTTATATGTCCTATTTAATGCTTCTATGCACATTCTGTTTTTCATGAATCCATCCAGAACTTTGCACTATTAAAGTTTAGTTCTCTTTCATCACATCCTTAATCCCAATGTGCACTCATAAATATTCCACATTATTTTACAAACCAACACAACATTTTGTATTCATAATGGTGATCAAAAGTAAGACTTTATTCAACATTTAGGCAGATACAAATAGATGCACCTTGACTAATCAAAGATTGAGTGGGTGTAGAATTTGAAAAGCATGGTTGTCTGTGGTGAAGATGTCCGTGTTGAACTTGTGTACTCTCAGTGTCTGGGCCCCATTTGTTTGTATGTGTGAGAGCACTTGCAGCTGATGCATCGAGACATTCCTGTCTCAGCAGTGCTCATGATAACGAATGATTAACCAGGCTCAATGAGTTATTGTAATGAACCAGAAGCATTGGATTTCAGCCTGGTTTCGATCCCATCTAAACAAGCTCCCTGAGAAAACAGCATCATTTATCACTTTAATTTTTTTTAATCATACAGCACTCTAAGGTGTTGGAGAAACTACATTAAACTTACTAAACTTTCTTTTATCTTTCAAAAAAAAAAAATGATAGAAGACAATAGAAGGAAAAATATGACAGTAGACATAATAGAAGGTAACAAAACAAATGACAACAACAATAAAAATGGACAGATAGATAGCAAGAGAGAGAGAGAAAAAATCATAATAATAATAAACTCACTAAACTTTCTGATATGAAAACACACTAGAATTCCACTTGAAAAAAAAAGGATCTTTATGATTATTATTTTATTTTTATTATCCATTTTTATATGAATGTACTTAGTCTACTGTGTGCCCAGAGTAGATGTATATCGCTGAGCAGGATGGGGATATCCCTCCCCTCATTCACTTACAGGATGGGTGGACATTTAAGATATAAACGTCAAATAAACCCAAGTGACAAACAATTGTCTGAAAAAAAAAAACTCTTATATTTTATGCTAAACTTTATGGTAGTCATGAAAAATCATTAAAGGGATTGTAAAAGTCATTTATTACTCACCCTCATGTCGTTCCAAACCCGTAAGACCTTTGTTCATCTTTGGAACACAAATTAAGATATTTTTTTATGAAATACGAGAGCTTTCTGACCCTGCATAGAGCGCAATGCAACTGAAAAGTTCCCAGAAACATAAGGACATAGTTAAAATAGTCATTGTGACATCAGTGGTTCAACCGTAATTTTATGAAGCTATGAGAATGCATTTTGTGTCCAAAGAAAACAAAAATGACGACTTTATTCAACAATTCTTCTCCTCCATATTACATTATTTTATTATAATTGAATAAAAATTAAGATTCTCATTACAAATTTGGGAAGAAGGTTGCGTAAGTTGCAATTTCAAATGCATGTCATAAGTGGCCCAACAGCAATTGCAGAGTTGGAGCAGCATTTACTGCAAAGCAAGTTGCTCCAAGACACTGAAATCACAGGATCATTAAAATTATTCATAGACTATTGATTAGACTAAGTGCATCAAAGCCTAACATAATCACATATATGTGTATGTGTCATTCACTACAAAGACCTGACCATTAGAATCTTTAGTTCGGGAACTGGACTACACTAGTTAGGGTAGTTAGGGTATTCCAAATCGTTGGAAGAATGCACATGCTCTGACAGAACAGAAAGACAATTTTGTTCCAAGCCTAACCCAGGACCTTGCTAACTTTGTGATGCTTTGTGGGTGTTATTGGAGGAAAGATTTGGTTTTGTGGGTGTCACTAGAAGAAAGTTTTGCTTTTGAAGGGTAATTATTTGTACTTTAATTACAGGGTACGTTTTTAGTTTAGCTCTGTCTTAAATGAAGATGACAGTCCTCAACCATTTGAATTGAAGCCTTAATTAGTATAATTTGCCTATGCTTTGTACACAAACAGGAACTGGTGTGCCTACGTAGTAACAAAGACTGTAAGTTGTGTAATGGAAGATGGAGTGGAGACGTATGTGAAACCTGAATACCAGCGTTGTGCTTGGGGCCAGTGTTCCCATGTGGTTTTGTAAGTATTCATGAGAAAAAACACTGCCAAATTGCATTTCATTTAATCTTGCTGTTATGACAGTGTCAAAACGGGAAAGGTTTGGAACGTGTCCCTCACTCAACTGGATGCATGTCCACCAGAACTATACATGGAATGAGGTGGGAGAGTTGAGACATAAATGTCTCCGATGAAACTGCTAATGTACCAGAAAGTTACTTGTAATGTTGTTATTTTACTAATTTTTTTAGAGAACACATTCAGTCATAAGTCCAAAATGAAGTTGACCTTTTTCTTAGGTCTCAATAAACCTCGGTTTTATCCAAGATCTTCAAAGAAAGCCATAATACTAGTCTCCTATAAAATACAGAAGCCACATCACAAGTATGAATAGAGTATAAACAATGTTCTAATAATAGCAACAACTGCACTTGAAAGTTCAGTAGACACACAAGAGGCTTTCCAGAGCAAAGCAAACACTTTCAAAGATTTTAATGATGTATTGAAAGCTTCGACTGAATAAAATAACAAAAACATGCCCAGAAACAACAGCTCAAAGAAAAAGAAGAACAGGCCTTTATTGTACTGTTGCCTAGCATAGTTGTGGCCTTTCGAAAAGTGATACGTGGCAAGTTTTAGAAATGTCACAGAAGTACACATATGTAAAAGCTTAATTTTTACAGCAAAAATACTACACATAGAGATCATATTCAAAGTTTCTGCTAGAACTGTATATGATGAAATATCTCATACCACAGGTATCGGACCTATAGAAAACCACGGTACAAGGTTGCCTATAAAATGGTCACAGAGATGGAATGGAAGTGCTGTTATGGCTACTCAGGAGATGATTGCAGTGATGGCAGGGGCAGAACTACTGGTGAAGAAGGTATGGCGTTACAGAACTCATAAAGTGAGTCAAGTTGATCTGATATTTTCATATAATATTTTCAATTCTGCAGCATTCTGTTGTAAATTTTTGTATCATTATTTTTTGTCTTTTAAAAAAAAATAGCTTCATAGGTCTCTTTGTAGATATGCTTCCAGTAAAAAGTTTGGACATACCTGAATGATTATAATAGATGTGTACAAACTCTGGTGCTGGTCTCAGTTTGAATTAGTAAATGTCAAATAACTTCAGTGTTAATTACGTGTGCAATCAATGTCCCTCAATAGGGAGAAGTGACAGCGAAAAGATTAGACAACTTGAGGAACAAATTCAAAATCTCCAGTCAACCTTATACAACATGAATAAGAAATTACATGAAGAATCTCGAAGGGAAGGCATCAGTGGTGGCAACAATCTGGCCGATGCAGCCCAGCCAGGGATGAGAGAGACCATTCACAGCATCCAGACCAAGCTGGACATGCTGGACAACATGACACAGGTCCATGATAGAACCCTCACCAGCATCAACAACCACCTTGTGGGCGGCAATGGAATCGGAAATGAGTTGGACAGTCGCTATGGCACACTGAAAGAGGAGATTCTCAGGGAGCTGGAAAGGCGGGTGACACTGTCTTGCTTGTCATGTCAAACTGGAGTGGAGGGCATTCAAAGGCAACAGCAGGAAGACAGAGAGAGGATCCGAGCTCTGGAGAAGCACATCAGTGTGATGGAGCAGCACCACCAACAAACTGTAGATTTGCTCAAGAAGGAACTATCACACTATCAGAGTTGCTGTGATTCACTGAGCGATCTGGACAGGAGGCTTGGTGCCACTGAGAGGAAGGTCAGTTCGACTGCAGAGACATATGATATCCTTAGAGGACGTCTTGAGAAAGAGTTGAGAGGATCAGGCAATGGCAATGGCAATGGCAATGGCGGTCGGGGAAAAGCGCTTGATGAAAAACTAAACAGCCGTCTTAGAGAACTGGAGAGAAGGCTGAATGGGACTGTGAGAAAAACCGAGCAAAAATGCTCCCATACTGAGACAAGTATGAAGGAGTTTGTCCACCGAGAGATCGGCCAGATAAAGAACTCTGTCCTCAGTCGAAACGATGATCATGGTTATAGAATATCTACCGTGGAGATTGATGTCCAAGACTTGAAGCGTTTCATTAACGACCACAAAAATGATCTGGAAAGGTTAGGGAACAAAACAACTGATCTCGACAGTGGGCTTAAGTCAGCGATTAATTTGTGCACAGAGACGTGCGTTTCAAAAGGGAGTGAGACAGCAGATACTGTGAAAAGCCTGGAATGGAAGGTTGTTGCCAATGAGGAGGACATTAAGAAGTTTGACACCAAACTAAAGGATTTAAGTGTGTCTGGTGACTCCTTATTGCACCGTATTATAGATCTCAGCCAAGACGTTAAAAAAATTAAGGATCTGACAGGACATAACGGAGAGCACTTTAACCAAATCGTCACCGATGTGGAGAATATGTTACGTGATTGTGACGTATGCAATACGATAAAGGAAGAACTTAGTACAATAAGAAACATAACCAGCCATACTTTTAACAAGTTCCAGGGAGAACTTATAGATTTACACAGAAAAGTAGATTCAGATGAGTATGCTTGCTCGCTGGTATGCTCAAACCTCCAGGAGGAAGTGGGCAAACTGAAAGAAGAGGTTGAGAAATGCACAGGCCAATGCGTGATCAGCATGGCTAACCATCAGAGGAACATGGATAATCAAAATACCATAACTCGCAAGCTTGGCAAAGACCTCAAGTCCATTCAGGGTGAGCTCACAGGGGTAATCCAAATGTTCAGCTCCATCAATGACACTCTGAAAGGCCTCAGGAACACCATACAGGGGCATGAAAACTCTATTTTTGAGCTGGACTCGTCTAAGGAAAGAATTTACTCTGAATTAGATCAGATTCAGGATGATCTGAACAAGCACAAAGTAGACAGTAAAGTGCGTTTCGATGGCATCAGTAGCTTTAACAGCAATTTGATGATTGAAATGGGAGAATGCAAACTTTCTCGAGAAGGGCTGGATAAGAGGCTCTCGAAGATGGAGGATGCCTGCGGTAGACTGGATTCCTTGTCAGTAAACCTTCAGACAATCAAAGATGGCCTGAACAAACACGTTTCTGGGCTTTGGACATGTGTTAATGACCTAAACTCCACAGTTATCTCTCACGGTGAGGCCATCAACAGCATTCAGAATGTTCACTTAGAGAACATTCATGGCAAAATGAACAATCTCAACTCTTCCATACTGCATGTCCTCAAGAAGTTCCAGAGCTTCATTGAAGAGGACTTCACTGGTATGTTACATAATATGTCAAGACGAAAACAAATTTTATAATTTGTGTTACGAATTTAAAAGCAATTGGACACATTATACCTCAACTATCCATTTTTTAGTTGTTTTTGAATGTGAAAAACCAAGCAATTTCTTTTGGGCCAATCCTCAGGACCTCCTGGACCACCTGGTCCTCAGGGAGAGAAAGGATCCAAAGGACCAGCTGGGCCTCAAGGACCTCCAGGCAGAGAAGGACCACAAGGGAAAGTAGGGCCAATAGGACCCCCAGGTAAATAAATGAGACGAGAAAATAAGTTAATAAATATATATACATATATTTCATAAAATCACCAGAACAGGATTTTATATGGTCAAATCACTTATATTTTTCTATATATTTTCAACATTTTCTCTTATTTAGGCCTCAGAGGTGAACAAGGTCAGTGTGTTCTTACTATTGCTACTGCTATGACTACTAATAAAATGTTCTACTAATAAATTGATATTTCTAAAAATAAAAATGTTTTCTAAATAATTTTTAAAATAATTATTTGCCTGCTTACCAGGACCTCCTGGAGAGGATGCAAACGTCCCAAGACTGTCATTCTCAGCAGCACTCACACGACCGCAACCCAATGCAGGCACTATTGTCTTCAACAAGGTCTTTGTCAATGAAAGAAAGGCCTACAATCCAAAGACAGGTATGTATTTAAAGACAAGCATATAGTGTGTGAATTAAGGTCTGTCATAATCATAAATTCTCTCACTAAATGTATTTTGACAGGTATGTTCACTGCACCTGTGAAGGGGCGATACTTCTTCAGTGCAGTCCTGACAGGTCACAAGAATGTCAAGATCGAGGCAGTCTTGTCTAAATCCAATTATGGAATTGCCCGCGGAGATTCAGCAGGCTATCAGCCTGAGGGTCTTGAGAAACCCATGGCAGAGGCACAGCACACTCCTGGCTCCCTGGTCATCTTCAACATCATACTTCCTCTGGAGAAGGGAGATACTGTCTGCATTGACCTGGTCACAGGTAAACTTGCCCACTCTGTGGAGCCCCTTACGATCTTCAGTGGGATGTTGCTCTATGAGGAAGACGACAGATTGTAAGACCCATCTGAGACTCAGTGAGGACAATTTCAGATGTAAACATTTGTATCTGGACATAACTTTTTTGAAGAACAGTTATACATATTCAGTGTTGAATAAGGTTTATAATACAAATTATATGCAGGTTTTGTTTATAGCAGGCCATAAGGAAACACGAGATGGATATATTTTTTCTCCATTATTAAAAAAAATTTTTTTTTTTACATGGTTACGTTTTTTTACATTTATTCTTGAATGGCAAATCATATATTTTCATATACTGTATGTGAGCAGCTATGTTTGCTTATATTAAAATACAACTGAGAACGGAAATGATCTTTCTAAAAAATAGCACATCCATGTCACTTCTTGCCCCAGAAGAGAATGAGTGACTGTCAAACTGGGATCGAACTCAAGTAGAATATTTTACATAATTATCTAATAACCTAACACAATCTTTACTTGATCTGACCTTACAAACCTTCATTATAGTAGTTATTTGAATGTATAAAGATGTGTTGTTGTCAGCAGCGTGTTGCTAGACCCTTGAAATACCCATATGCCCCAGTAAACATTACTGATAAATACTGAGAATGGAGATTACCATTTACTGACATGAGAATCATTTTGCCTGATAATATTTCAGCAATCATGTTGTGTGTTTTCTATCAGCTATTTACAATCATATGCCAGATTCAGAAATTAAGCACTCTTGAGCTAACTGGTCAAATGGTTTTGCAAAAAGGTCTGAATTTGTTTTTGATTCATTCAGACAGTTCACTCATACACTGAATCATATACAGCATTTTCTCAAACGAAAAAGAAAACAAAAAGAGCGCTGGATGAGATAGATCTTTACCTACACTACGGTGTAAAAACAAACCTTGCAAATGTCTTCTAATGTTTATCAGTGATTAAACAGCACATGCAACTTGTGAACAACTCATCCAAGTGGATGCTGCACACTGGTGGTGGTTGAGAAGAGACCCCCCCACATGATTGTAAAGCGCTTTGGGTGTACAACAATACACAGTAAAGCGCTATATAAATGCATCATTCATTCATTCATTCATTCATTCATTCAACTCTGTAAAGATCATTTAAGATATATTCATATAACAGTATATAAAAAAGGTTGGTTGGCAGTGCAGTGCAGTGCATAATATAGTGTATTCACATGCACAAGCCAGTGAATTTACAGTACTTCCCAAATAAATTTGTTTGTTTGAAATTTGTAGAGAAGAATGGGAAATGGAACACAAGAACAGATGTATATATATATATATATATATACATATATTAAAGCTTGTTGTGGATCTACAAGTACATACTTGGGTCTGTACCAGTCCTTTTGGCCACTTGCAATTTGCCTGTATTTTCTGTTATCCAATCAATGCAATCACTACTTTTCTTTTAAGAAATGCTGTTTATGCTCTCAGAAAATGCTAACACAAAAACCACGACAACATACTGTATGTGAAAAACATAAATGTAATTTATTTTTTTAAAGCATCACGCCGCTATGTATACCATTATCCCCTTCTAACTTTCAAGCTTCATTCAAATACACCTCAAGAAGAAGGAATCCAGAGACCATAAGAAAATATGGATCTGTGTGTACTGTTGGTGTGTTTTCAGTTTAAAATGAGGAAAGATGTTTACAGTTTACTGTTGGTGTGGTTTCAGTTTAAAATGAGGAAAGATGTTTTTCCCTTAAAGGTTCCATTCAGGTTTTTTAAAGATGGATATAATAAATATTACACATGATATTTTCTATTATTTCCCATTTCCTCACTGTGTTATTCTTTCATATTTGTGGCACATTTCTTCACTTAATCTCCAAATTTGGAAAAGTAACTATAAAAGGATGAACTCAAATAAAGCAGGCTGTGCAGAGAGGGACATTTTTAGACATGCCAGAGGCTATAGATCAGGAAACTTCTGTAACCCATTCTCTGGTGACTCTTCCAAAGAAAACGATCAAAGCTGTTTGTGCTTGATGCAGAAAAGATTTCATCCTGGCTATCTTTTTGTCAATGGATTTTTATTTTGTCTCTTTGGACTGCAGATGTTCTCCAAATAGACCAAATCTAACAGCTCAGAATCTGTATCTTTGCCAGACATGTATTTGTGCGACCTTAGCTGTCTTGGTGGTCTATGCTTAATGTTTTCTTTAATACAAAGGGATTTAAAAGGACTTTGCACTGAGTACTGTGAGATCAAACCTTGACCATTCAGTCCATTTTAACCCTCAGAAGAGAGAAATTCCTTAAAAGGTCTTCATAAATGTTACTTCAGAATGCTTCATCTTGCAGTAAGACAGCTGATTTGCTCGATTTCCACTTGGGACCAGGTTATATCAGCTGTCCAGGCATAACCTGAACCATATCAGGTCAAATCTGATATTTTGAAGTTTCGTCTCACTACAGGCATTACAAAACAGTATTATATTTATGCAAATAAAGTCTGACTGACAAATAAAATCCGACTGCTGTGCAATCCAAACAGTCCTCAGATTATTTTCAGCACAAAATGTTTTCATAATCATATCTTCTTCAAAGCTGAATGCTATATATTGAATATACAGTATATTTGCAATGCTAGTTGTTAATTAAAATATTTTCCACAAATTTCTTATTGTGTTAAGAAGTTTTTTTTCTGATTTTAAAGGGGTCCTACAGTGTAAATATTGCGTCAAAATCAAATCAATTTGAGCGCGATTTAAACCCGGATGATTGCAATCACTCGATAAGTTCGTCTGCCTTGGGAAAGCTAGCGTGTCTCCGACATAGTGATAACACTCGTTGCCTTCTCTAGTGCAGCTCAACCAGGTCTCATCCCATTCATCGATATTTGTGATATCACAAATCCCGGAAAATATGCATTGTAGTCCAAACGAGTCGTTCGTTGTAGTTTTTGAAAAGTGATTTCTGTTAAATAAAATATCTCCTTTTGAAGTGGACTTTGAGCTTTGTAACTTTGCAGATCTTTTTTATGCTCAAACAGCAACATTACAGACTAACTAAAGTTGAAAAAGTGAAAAAGCATAATAGGACCCCTTTAAGCCTGTTGTTATGCAGTTGCTAACCTTCCCTTTAACCATGCACGCTCTCTCTCTAAACTCTAAAGCCCCGCCCTCCAAAGACACTCTAGCCAATCCCAAAACATAAAATGCAGATTGTGATCTCTCATTGGCTAAAAAGCGCGGGCCATTGTACTTATAGTGAATTCGCGCCCTCTAGTGGATGATCTGAAATCTTCTTCGCCACATTTTCTTATTGAACCGGACCACCTTCCTGAGAATGTTTGAGCGCGGGCTAAAGTGATAACATATTAAATTATGCATGATTTCGACTTAATGGTGAGAGAACCATATCCAATGTGAGCATGGCGCGAGGAAGCCTCTCTTTGTGATAGATGTCACTTACTGTCACTCATACAAAAAGTTACTCACACGCTTGAAGACATTGCCATGAAAACTGATACGCCGTTTCTCGTCAGGCTACTCAAGCCAGGTCAAGTGATCACGTAAAAGTGCGGTAATTCTATTTTAGGCCGCTTCTAATAAAAAAGAGGCGGCGACAATGAGGCGGAATTTCCTTCTTGAAGAAGCTTTTTAAGAGTTCACGGCGTGCTGTTGCCATAGAGACACAAAGCGAGCACAGAGAGACGCGCTTGGAAACAATGTAACATTTACTTAACATACTGTGGATTTCAGAACCCAAAAACAGGTAAGGGAATCTGATTGTTCTTTGACATTGAATGTAGTCTTGTAAAACGTGTTTATCAGATATACAGCTATATTGTTACCAACTTAAAAATCTCCAAATTAAGGTGCAAAAAAAAGACCCCTTAGTAAAATCGGGTCCCCAAATTATCACATGGTCGAACAAATTGTTTTTATTGAATATTCTTGGAGGAACATAATTTGCATAAAAAGAAATGTGTTCGTTATGAAAAATCATGTAAATATTAAAGTTAAAGGGCATCAGACGCTTGGGTAAATCGTCACATTTAATAAAATGCTCATAATCAGATTACAGTTACCTTTTATGGATTAAATGATTATATACTCACACAATGGAAGTAAATTATTCATAATTTACTGTTTCATATACTGTTCCTTTTTTTCTTTTAAATTTTCCTTTCTAAAGGAACCTACTTTCAGCCATGTTGTGCCCTACTATTGCATCTTGATTAAAATCTCAAGTGAAATGCATTTAAAACAAAGAAAACTAGGGGGGAAAAACCCTACAAATACTACTGTAAATTGTTTAGATTTTTAGGTTAATGATGTCATGCACCCTGGCCAAGGGAAGGCTTGACGTTTTGCAGATCTATCGGCTACTGCAGTGCGTCCAGGATGGAGATAAGCTGTACATAGAGAAATTAATCAGCATGGGTGTTCGTGACCTCATAAATCTCACTGAACCACGCGAGGGGAACGGTGTCCTGCACCTGGCATCGGTGGGCAACAAACCCGACATGCTGGAGTTCCTCATAGCTCAAGGTGCCCGTCCAGACATGCAGGACAGGAGGGGGAGGACACCCCTGATGCTGGCCGCAGAGCTCGGATATGACAGGATCGTGTCTCTACTGGCCAAGAACAACGCAGACATGAAACTTGTAGACAAAGAGGGGAAAGGTAATTTTTTATTATTTTAATTTATAATATAGTTTAACTGCCACGTTTTATCCATTGCTGTCCATATAAATATGCATAAGTTATAAGCTTCGGTCAGTGCCAGGTTCGATATCAATGTACTGTATAGACTTTATCTGTGAATACTTCATTTTATTTATCAATATACAATATTTCTCTTTCTAGGGTTAGATATTATTAGGCTTCCTGTAATTGACACCTCACCAACAATTATTCTTCATAAGACAATTTGACAGCAACCACATAGTCAACAGGGATTATCAATGGCTGGCAGCATCCTGCCATTTTGGAGATTTACTGTATGCAGATCTAATTACAGATCAGGGCTCCTCCAGTAAAACTAGTGTGTAAACCGATCTGAGTAACCTTGGCTTCCCTCCCAGGCTTGCTCTTCTACTGCATCCACCCTACAAAAAGGCACATGCGCTGCCTCCAGGTGGCCCTTAACGGCAATGCAGATGTCAACAATGTTTCAGAAACTGGGATGCCAGTGTTCCTGCT